ATAGTAAAAATAAAAACTGTTCATTGTGGTAAACGAAATAATAATTTGATCTAAGTAAGAGTTTTTTCCTTCCCAATTTGTAAAAAAATCCTTACGTGATAGGAAAAAAATGAATATTATTTTCGTAGCTGAATTAATGAAAAATCGTTATTAAAACCAAAATTCGCAGACCTGTGTAATTAATTAGGGTACAACTGAACAATATTACCAAAGAATTATGAATTTCTTAGAATTATGCTTGTGTGCTGATGCAGTAGAAGTAATAAGTAAAAGTATTATACTTCCAAGATCTGCAGGAAATACATCAAACGTAGTAAATATATAGTATTTGTATCTAAAACCGGATATCCAGAACAGAAGCTATCAGAACTTACAATACACATTAAATGTATCCTTCCGTATCTTTGTGCGTATGTGTGCTCCAACAGAAGACGATATAACAAGGAACTTGAAATAAATCCTTAGAACTTGCCTTTTATTTCAAGTCACTTTTGCTCTATATTTAAGGCATATGTCACTCTAAAACATAACTTTTGCTCTATATGTAAGGCATATGTCACTCTAAAAACATAACTTTTGCTCTATGTCTAAGGCATATGTCACTCTAAAACATAACTTTTGCTCTATGTCTAAGGCATATGCCACTCTAAAACATAACTTTTGCTCTATATCTAAGGCATATGTCACTCTAAAAACATAACTTTTGCTCTATGTCTAAGGCGTAGTCACTCAAAAACATAACTTTTGCTCTATATGTAAGGCATACGTCACTCTAAAACACAATATTTGCTCTATATCTAAGGCATAGTCACTCTAAAAACATAACTTTTGCTCTATATCTAAGGCATATGTCACTCTAAAAACACAATATTTGCTCTATATCTAAGGCATAGTCACTCTAAAAACACAATATTTGCTCTATATCTAAGGCATAGTCACTCTAAAGCATAGAGCTTAGAACTTTTTGTACTGGCGGATATTTTTATCGGAGAAACTAAACCAGCATATGCAAAACTTGCTATTTTTTCTGGGTACTTTTGGTCGTTCCGAGCTGATCGTTGGAAGCCAGTGGTTAAAACTTGCTATTTTGAATTCAGTTTGTTCTCGATCTATAGTTTATAAAGTTTGTAAATATATCACATCTGTTATATCTTACTATATGTATCAGAAATAATAGTTGTTGTTTTTTCCGACAGAGGAACTGACAGTCCAGCTTCAGAAGACCACAGGAAAGTCCGTGATGTCCGCCGGAATCGGAGACAAGGTCTGTGGACACTCCTCTAAAAAAAAAACTGATATTATAGATATATACATGCATAAACAGCCTTGCTGTTATTCAATTAAAACTTAAACCTAAACCCATTCTACTAAATTGAAACATTTTTCAAGAATCTAGAACTGTATTTGTTGTAGGTTAAAAAACGTGTCGGTGTTTTTAAGTTATTTAACGATTTTGAGAACATTTCGACTTATGTGTATTTAATTAAAAAAAAAAAGAAAGTTACTGTTTTTGTTTACCATTTTATATTCGCCTACTTAACGTATTTCAAATCCGTAAGAAAAGTAAAGAAAACATTCATCAAATATCAAATGTCTATATATTTTTCTCAAATTATTCTTGGATGGTATTATCCCTTTTTCTGTTATTTTCTACACTGAAACTCCGTTTGGAATTCAGTTTACAGTTGTTGTTTTATTTTTAATATACGGTTAGACATCTCGTTTTCTACGCCATGGTATTCCGGTATTCTCTTCTTTGACGAGTTTGAGTTACCTGATCAAAACATATTACCTCTACTAAAAAAAACACACACACAAAAAAAACAGCCAAGTTAAAGTAAAGGAATCAGCCATATGACGATGTGATATCAAATAAGGAAACCAAGTTATATAAGAGAAGAATAAACCTTGTTTAAGATGTAATGTAAAGGGGGGGTGGGTTTAAACAAGTAAAAATTAGGAAAAACTTGGTCCTCTTCTGATATTAATGTTACTGCTTGTTTCAGTTTCAATAAAAAGAGGGAACATGTTGTTACATTACATCCTTATAGGGTTTGCCCTTTTATTTATCTTGGCTCTTTTTTTTATATCACATGTTTATATATATATATATATATATATATATATATATATATATAT